CTGTTAAGGTTCAATTTTGGACAAAATTTTTATGTTCCTTTTTTTTTTCATCCACCAGGTGGCGCTGGTCTTTTATTTTTTCATTGAATCATGCAGAAATTTCTGCTTTTTGACTGTTTTCTGGAGGAAAATCAGAGCAGTTTGTTTGTTCTTAAGCTTAAGGCATTTAAAAAAAAGATTGATCCATTTAAACGAACAATGTGAATCCAGCCGAGCGCCTTTAATCCTTTTATTGGTTATTTAATTTAGGATTTTGAAGGGTTTTGGCTCTTTTTATCCATCATTTTTCCAGCTTCAGGGCGGTTTTGTGTGTTTATTCTGTCGGACATCGTCTCACCTCCTGACTCTTTTAGCTAAAGGGAGTTTTGTTTGTTTTGTTTGTTTTGTTTGTACTGTTTTCCTTCTCTGGTTTTGACTCTGAATCTTTTTCAGGATAACAAAGCTGACGTCATCCTCAAGTACAACGCAGATGAAGCCCGGAGTCTGAAGGCCTACGGGGAGCTGCCCGAGCACGGTGAGTCAAAGGTCAAAGGTCAGGGGGCCTGCACCCCCCCTCTCCCACCAGCAGGGGGCGCCGCTCTCTGATCCTCCTGCTTTATTTTTTATTTATTTATTTAATCGGGACAGTGCACATTAATGCTCCTCCTTTTCCAGACTTTTTCCTCCTCCTAAAGAGGTCCTGGAGCAGATCTAAAGCTTTATTATAGAAAAAATGAAGCCTTATTTCTCAGTTAGTTTAACAGATAGACTCAGTAAGGTTTATTTTACAGCACATTTCCAGTAAAAGACCATTCAAAGAATTTAAAAACAGAAAAACAAGAAAAGAAAAATGATAAAAATTAGACAGATGAAAATTGACCCTTTTCTTTTCATTTGTCTAATATTTCAAACATATTTATTTCTTTAATCAGGACAGTGCACATTAATGAACAATCTCATACAGATTGTAAATGAGCCAGATTATAGCATAGTTGCTAGTTTACATCTGTCGTCCTGAGGCAGGAAGACCAAACAACACAAAATCACAAAATACAAAATCAGTCCAAACACACGTTC